TCTTTATTTTCTTGTAACCATTTCTGACTTTTATACCTCGTTGCTTGTACTCACTTAAAATCTCTCTTTTTAGCTAATAAACTTGTTTTATTGTTTAATCTAATCCAGTGCGTTTAACTTAAAGTGGCTGGGTAACTCTAAGGTAACAAGCTATTGTATAAAGTGACAAAGAGTCCTGTGGCACCTTATAGACTAACAGACATATTGGAGCATAAGCTTTCGTGGGTGATGCCCACTTCGTCAGACGCATGTGGTGGAAATTTCCAAAGGCAGATATAAATATGCAGGCAAGAATCAGGCTAGAGATAACGAGGTTAGTTCAATCAGGGAGGATGAGGCCCTCTTCTAGCAGTTGAGGTGTGAACACCAAGGGAGGAGAAACTGCTTTTGTAGTTGGCTAACCATTCACAGTCTTTGTTTAATCCTGAGCTGATGGTGTCAAATTTGCAAATGAACTGAAGTTCAGCAGTTTCTCTTTGGTGTCTGGTCGTGAAGTTTTTTTGCTGCAGGATGGCTATCTTTACATCTGCTATTGTGTGTCCAGGGAGTTTGAAGTGTTCTCCTACAGGTTTTTGTATATTGCCATTCCTAATATCTGACTTGTGTCCATTTACCCTTTTACGTTGGGATTGTCCAGTTTGGCCGATGTACATAGCAGAGGGGAATTGCTGGCATATGATGGCGTATATTACATTGGTGGACGTGCAGGTGAATGAACCGGTGATGTTGTGGCTGATCTGGTTAGGTCCTGTGATGGTGTCGCTGGTTTAAATATGTGGGCAGAGTTGGCATCCAGGTTTGTTGCATGGATTGGTTCCTGAGTTAGAGTTACTATGGTGCGGTGTGTGGTTGCTGGTGAAAATATGCTTAAGGTTGGCGGGTTGTCTGTGGGCGAGGACTGGACTGCCTCCCAAGGCCTGTGAAAGTGAGGGATCGTTGTCCAGGATGGGTTGTAGATCACTGATGATGCGTTGGAGAGGTTTTAGCTGAGGACTGTAGGTGATGGCCAGTGGAGTTCTGTTGGTTTCTTTCTTGGGCTTGTCTTGCAGCAGGAGGCTTCTGGGTACACGTCTGGATCTGTTGATTTGTTTCCTTATTTCCTCGTGCGGGTATCGTAGTTTTGAGAATGCTTGGTGAAGATCTTGTAGGTGTTGGTCTCTGTCTGAGGGGTTGGAGCAAATGCGGTTATACCTCAGCGCTTGGCTATAGACGATGGATCGTGTGGTGTGTCTGGGATGGAAGCTGGAGGCATGAAGGTAGGCATAACGGTTGGTGGGTTTTCTGTATAGGGTGGTGTTAACGTGACCGTCACTTATTTGTACCGGAGTGTCTAGGAAGTGGACCTCCCGCGTAGATTGGTCCAGGCTGAGGTTGATGGTGGGGTGGAAGCTGTTGAAATCGTGGTGGAAATCTTCCAGAGTCTCCTTCCCATGGGTCCAGATGATGAAGATGTCATCAATGTAGCGTAGGTAGAGAAGGGGCGTGAGTGGACGAGAGCTGAGGAAGCGTTGTTCCAGGTCAGCCATAAAAATGTTAGCATATTGTGGGGCCATGCGGGTGCCCATAGCGGTGCCACTGGTCTGGATGTATATATTGTCACCAAATTTGAAATAATTGTGCATGAGGATAAGCTATTGTATATTATTCCCTTAAAGTAATACCGGACATAATACATTTGGATTGTCCAGGAGAGTGCTGGACAGTACAAGACATACATTTCTGGGGGGAAATCTGGGATTGGGAGTTGTTGGGGTCCCCTGGCAAAGGTAACTAAGGCTGGTAAAAGCCAGAGTGTAACCCATGTGTGGCTGGCAGGCTGCAGGTACCCACAGACGCTCAGGATGTGGCTTGCCTACTGAAAGATTGTTTGTGATCGGCCCAGGTGGGAGTCACTGCAGCAAGTATTGAAGGGACCCAAGATTGCAGCGAGGGGGTGACACAGCCCCTCACTGGTCTCGATTACACCCCGGCTTGTCAAAACTGGCCATTCAGTTTCCACCTCTAGGTTAATTACTTTTGGGCTGCTGCAACCACACCTTTGTATTTACCAGAGCAAAGTCTGCCTTGCAGTGGAATGGGGCTGCTCTACACTGGGAGTTTACATCGGCAGAGCTACCCCTCAGGGGTGTGAAAAATCCACACCCCTGAGCAACGGCGCCATGCTGACCTATGCCCAGGTGTGGGCAGTACTAGGTGAGCAGAATTCTCTTGACTTAGCCCTCAATCCTGCAATTGGATCCTCATAGTGACTCTTTATGCTTGCATGGAACTTTATTGTGCCTGTGCAGACCTGATGGCAGGATTGGGGCTTCATATTGTAACTCTGTCAATAATGAGATGAACCTCTTTAGATCTGTGAGATTCTTGGAGGGTCTTAGATATGCTGCAGTATAACAAGACTTCACACAAAAGGCAGAATGTTTTGTTCTGTAAACCATTTTAAACGACAACCCTCTTTTCATTCGGTTTCCAGGGGCAATCCTGGCAATTACAGGCCAGTAAGCCTAACTCCAGGCAAATTGGTTGAAACTATAGTAAAGAACAGTATTGTCAGACACAGAGATGAACACGATATGTTGGGGAAGAGTCAACATGTTTTTTGTAAAGGGAAATCATGTCTCACTAGTCTATTAAAATTCTTTGAGGGGGTCAACAAGCATGTGGACAAGGGTGGATATAGTGTACTTAGATTTTCAGAAAGCCTTTGACAACGTTCCTCACCAAAGACTCTTAAGCAAAGTAAGCAGTCATGGGATAAGAGGGAAGGTCTTCTTATGGATCAGTAACTGGTTAAAAGATAGGAAACAAAGGGTAGAAATAAATGTTCAGTTTTCAGAATGGAGAGCGGTAAATCGTGGTGTCCCCCAGGGGTCTGTACTGGGACCAGTGCTGTTCAACATATTCATAAATGATCTGGAAAAAGGGGTAAACCGTGAGGTGACAAAATTTGAAGATGATACAAAACTACTCAAGATAGTTAAGTCCAAAGCAGACTGCGAAGAGCTACAAAAGGATCTCTCAAAACTGGGTGACTGGGCAACAAAATGGGAGATGTAATTCAATGTTGATAAATGCAAAGTAATGCACATTGGACAACATAATTCCAACTATACATATAAAATGATGGGGTCTAAATTACCTGTTACCACTCAAGAAGGAGATCTTGGAGTCATTGTGGATAGTTCTCTGAAAACATCCACTCCATGTGCAGCAGCAGTCAAAAAAGCTAACAGAATGTTGGGAATCATTAGGGAAGGGATAGATAATAAGACAGAAAATATCCTATTGCCTCTATATAAATCCATGGTACCCCCCACATCTTGAATACTGTGTGCAGATCTGGTCATCTGATCTCAAAAAAGATCTATTGGAATTGGAAAAGGTACAGAAAAGGAAAACAAAAATGATTAGGGGTATGGAACAGCTTCCATATGAGGAGAGATTAATAAGACTGGGACTTTTCATCTTGGGAAAGAGATGACTAAGGGAGGATATGATAGAGGTCTATAAAATCATGATTGGTGTGGAGAAAGTAAATAAGGAAGTGTTATTTACTAATTACACAAGAAGTAGGTGTCATCTGATGAAATTAATATGCAGCAGGTTTAAAACAAACAAAAGGAAATATTTCTTCACACAACACACAGTCAGCCTGTGGAACTCTTTGCCAGGGGATGTTGTGAAGGCCAAGACTATAACAGGGTTCAAAAAAGAACTAGATAAGTTCATGGAGGATAGGTCCATCAATGGCTATTAGCCAGGATGGGCAGGGATGCAAAATTATGCTCTGAAGTGTCCCTAGCCTCTGTTTGCCTGAAGCTGAGAATGGCAACAGGGTATGTATCACTTGACGATTACCTGTTCTGTTCATTCCCTCTGAAGCACCTGGCATTGGCCACTGTCAGAAGACAGGATACTGGGCTAGATGGACCATTAGTCTGACCCAGTATGGCCATTCGTATGTTCCAGGTTGTTGGCCTGTTTCCCAATTAGATGCTCCTGTGTGGTCCTGCTAACCCGTATGATAATGATGTCTATTGAAAGCATTTTTTAATGGGTGCCAGTTCTGTGTTTTCTGCTGGAGCTTTGAGTCTGCCTTTTAGCAAATGGCTTATGAGAGATTCTCTGTGAGATTTCTCTGGAGACTTATCCGTGGGAGGAGGGTGGAAAGAACACAGAAAGAACATACCATAGCCAATGTGGCTCAAGAGGCACTGATGACTCTTACTTGGCAATGAAACAGAGGAGTTAGAGATGAAAAGATCTAGCAGCCCAGCCCTAAGGGCCCGAGCGGGGTGGTATCCTGCGGTATCGTCTTCCGTGCTTTGTCTGTTCCAGTTCAAATGACACCGGCAATGACTCTTTCCACAGTCTGGTAGATCTCACTGTTAGGAAGTTTTTATTGAGACTACATTTTACTTTTCTTAGTTTCATTCTATTGCTTTTAATTACATCCCCAGCCTAAGCAATTCCTCTCCATTACACCCATCAGATACTGCCGACTGTTACCACATCCTCATTAGCCATCGCCTAACCAAGCTTAAATTTTAGTTCTCTCAGTCCTCCAGTGTAAGCCAGTGCCTGCAGCCTCTATTATTTTTTGTTGTTCTCTCTTGGATCCCTCTAATGTGTCAATATCTCTCTGGTAATACAGTGCCCAGAAGTGAACACACATTCCTGCTGTGATCTTTCCAACAGAGCCTTGATGTAAACATCCCACACACTCAACAGAGTAATTTATAGGTTATAGCTACATACAAGAATCACTTCACTCACCACCAAAATGCAGCTGCCTCTGGGGTGGGATATGGCAGCTGTTTAACAGCACAATCATATGACAGGAGACACAAACAGCTGCCCCAGGTCACGACAGGGACAGAGAGTCCTTCTGCCTGATATATCCTTTTGCTGATGCCAGAGTATGAGTCTCCCCTCTGGTTCCTAACAGCAGGAGGTAGGACTGGGATCCCTAATACAAAATCTTTCTCTCTCTTTTCCAGGCTGCCAAGAAGCTGGAGGCTGCCACTAGTCAGCGATGCCTGCCTCTTTCTCTAGACGTCCGGCAGCCCCAAACCATCATGGCCGCGGTGGACGAGGCTGTGAAAGAGTTTGAACGAATTGACATCCTCGTTAACAGTGAGTTGCTTGCGAAGCGGGGGAAGTGACAGGATTTTACAAACCCGTGTGTTTCAGGGAACAAACTCATCACCAACTGAGGGTCAGGAAGAAATTTGCCCCCCCATGGAGGCAGTGTTCTGTTAACGTCTGGGTGCATTGCTGGCATGGGTACCATCGTCTGAATGCTGGTCACGCTGGAAACAGGATGCTGGACTAGAAGGAATATTGCTCTGTTCTGGGTGAAGCTTCCTATGCTCTCACTACCCTGTGGGAGCCTGCAGTGCCAAGTGACATGAGAGGCTGGGAATACTGGTCCCATAGAGGTAGTGGACTGACAACTGTCTGCCAGAAAATGAAGTGAGGAAGGGGGCAGTCAAGCCTCATTCCCAACCCAGCAGGGTTCCCCACTCATCTTTGTTTGACTCTACCCTGTTCTGTATCGCCCACTTAAGCAGCAATTCAAGCAGCCTCTGCTTGGCTGATCTGGAAATTGATTGCAGCCAACCCTTTGATTCCCAATTGTCCCAGTAGCGTTCTTCCTCAAGAGCCAGGGGTGGCGATGCCAGGGGGCACCCGGGCACTGCTCTCTGAACAATGAACCCTTCACCCAGTTCTGGGACATACTCAACTACTGTATATAAAAGTGTATCCCTGCCTGAAAGGTCTGTGCGCAGCTGGCTGCTCTGCTGCTCCAGCGAGCTAGGGACTCCAAAGCAGGAGCTGTAAGTCTTTGGGGACTTTCCTGACACGGCAGAAGCCTGAGGGGCACTCTTAAAAATGTCCTTTGCTAACTAAAGTGGGGGCAGCTAAGGCAAGTTACAGTGCCCCACCTAAACCGAGGAGCCAGAAACCATTAGAAGTTGCACTGGGCAGCCTGTGTCAGTGTGGCTCTGGGTTGGTAGTCTCGAGGCAGATCGCGTGTTCTCTATATAGTGAACAGTTAGGAGGATTGTACACGTGCACTCACACCCTGTCCCTGCTGCGGAGGAAGGGAGGGAGCAGCACCCGATGCCCACCTGGTAATAGATCATAGCAGTCTCACTCCCCCGCTCCCCACTGACTGTGCCCCTGGATGCTCTCCTTCTCCAGATGCTGCTGGTAACTTCCTGTGCCCGGCCAGCGCTCTGTCCTTCAATGCCTATAAGACAGTGATCGACATTGACACCCTCGGTACCTTCAATGTCTCCAAAGTGCTCTATGAGAAATGCTTGAGGGTAAGTTCATCCTACACCAGGGGACGCGCTGCTGGGGAGTCCGTTGTGTTGATAAGAGGGCGGGGGTTCGGGTCCAACCATGGATAAGCTGTTAATAAAATCCTTGCTTGTTATTATAGCGTTAAACAGTTACGTGTGGTCTGGGGTTCAAGGGCATGTTATCACCAGTGACTCCCTTTGTACCAATCACCACTGAAAAATCTCTTTAACCTTTTATTAAAACACAGCGAAAGCATTTGGAATGTAAAGTATTAATTGTAACACTGTTCCTTAGTCCCTTTCCATTCAACTGCAGAGAGTCTTTTATGGGGGAACCCCCCGTTTGCCAGGCGTTTAGATTGGGGGGTGGAGGACAGGAGGAGAGAGAAAGGGTTAGCTTTGGATAGTCTATTGAAGTCCAATCCTGTTTCCTTTGGACAAAACAAGACGAACACGTGCTTGTATCCATCCTTTCAGAAAGCAACTGCAAAGATCCTTTTCCTAGCCCATTGCTCTGACCACATCACCCCTCTCTCTTTCCATCACTCCCCTGGCTCCCTCTTTTCTAGCGTATCAAACATACGCAGTTGCCTTCACTTCCAAGGCTCTGCTCAGCCCAGCCCTGCCCCACCTATCATCTCTCATCCAGTATCGAAAGGCTGACTCCAGCCTGCAGCGGACTCACGATGGCAACCTCCATCGCCCACTTGTTAAACTTTCCAACAAGCCCCTTTGTGCTTTCTGCCAGGCTGCCCCTCCTGCTTGGGAGGAGCTCCCCTTAAACACCCCCAAAGCCGCCTCCTCCTCCTCCACCAAACCCCTCCTTAGAACTCTCCTTTGCCATGATGCATACAAATCACTTGACAATGATTAGGCTGCTGGTGTGCTAAGAACACAGCCGATCATGCTGATTAATCTTGTCTCACTGGCAGCCCCATCTTATATCACCTCTCTGTCTCCTTGTGTCTTTCCTGTACCTTCCATCCTTGCAGCAGAACCACCTTCCCCCGACACAGCCATTCACCTGTGACAGTGAATGTGGTTCAGGTGGCCTCTAGAAAGTGGCTGCCTGCAAAATGTGGGTTATACGTAATGCTGGGGAGAGGGTGACCTTGACTTAGGAGAAGTAGATGGAGGGCGACGTGAGCCAGTGAAACACTGATTCTCTTTCCCATCCCAAATCCTTCCAGCTCCTTCACTTTTCCTTGAGGCCTCTAATCTTCTGCCATCTCCTGCCTCCTCAGAGTGCTTATACCTTTCTAGAAACGGGCTGCAGATTGTGCTGGAATGTTTCAGCCCAGCCCGGAAGGAGAGCCGTCCTATGCAGATCCCAAGCAGGGAGGTGTTCAGAGAGCCAGGCAGAGATGGCAGAACCACAAAAGTTGGGCAGACAATCCCCATTCCTCACCAGACCAGTTTCGCCTTCAGGGTATTTCTCTGGTCAGTCTGTTCCATCGCATGCCCAGGTCCTGCTGCCCCAACAGACGATATCTCTGCTCTGTTCCCTAACTCCCTGTCTTGTTTATCCAGGACCATGGCGGGGTTATAGTTAACATCACAGCGACCTTGAGCTACAGAGGGCAGGTTCTCCAGGTGCATGCCGGGACGGCCAAGGCGGCTGTAGGTACAGTAAACACACCTGACCCATTTGGTTCCTTTCTGTGTCTTTTCAAGCTGCCAAAGCCCAGCCAACTTACTGGTTCTTTCAGAGCCTCTGATGGAGAGACTTGGAAGAACAATACTGGGATCTTGCATAGTACTCCCCTTAGTACAGATAGGCTGAGTCAAGCCCAGATCTCTGCAGCACCCTCCCTGACCAGGCTAAGAGGGGTCACTCGGCCTGGCTTAACAAGTTATTCCCCCTTGTGCAATCTCTGTACTTGCTGCTTTCCAGAATGTGACATTGCAGAAAAATTGTGGTGACACAGGATGATGCATTCTGGGATACCACCAGCAAACCGTGATTGTGCAGAAAGGAAAAATTACTGAAAGGAGACTAATGAAAGCTGGTTTGACTGTGCACCCCGCAAACACCCCCCCCCCCCCCCCCCCCCCCCCCCCCACACACGCACACCGCCTGCGATGGAGCCTGCTGCAGATCGGTGCCTAAGCACCAATCCAAAGCCCACTGGAGTCAGTGGGAGCATTTTCACAGACTTCAGTGGTCTTTAGATCTGGCACTAAGTGACTTGCCAGGGTCACACTGAGCTGGTGACAGAGTTATGTTTAGAACCCAGGCCTGTGCTGGGCTCAGTCCAGCAGACCACACTATGCTGCCGGTCTCTGCGGCTTGTTAATGCCAGATGACGTTAGTCACATGGCCTGTGGGACACATGCACAAACTCACACGTTGTCAGGGCGACTGCTGGGACCAGATGGCAGCGATAAAAGGCCCTCCGTCAGCAGGCAGGCACAGCTCCTTGGAGGGGGTATCTACAGAAGGCCAGCTGCTTCCCCAGTTCTATGCATTCTGACTCATGTGCTTCATTCAGATGCTCAGCACCCGTCGTATCCCTGATCTGCCCTCCCTGGCCCTGCCAGTAGTGCTCAGTGCTGACTTGCAGCAGCCCTGCTATTCCAGCCTGTCCCCCCGCCCCCCCAGCCCTCTGTTATTCCAGCTCTGGACACACCATCCCCTCCACAGCTCTGCCTAAGCCCCTCAGTCCTGACCCACAGGACCCTCTGCTAGTCAATCCCGACCACTTTCACCCCTTTGCTTTTCAGACTTACACCCCCCGTCTGGCCCCGCCAGTGTCTCTCGCTCCGACCGGCAGCCCCCTCTGTTCGCTCTGAAATCCCTTCACTGTTGTTGCTCTGTTTTTCATTCTGCTTTGAATGTCCTTCCTCCCAGATGCAATGACCAGGCACCTGGCAGTGGAGTGGGGGCCCAACAACATCCGTGTCAACAGCCTGGCACCAGGCCCCATTGCGGGCACTGAGGGATACCGGCGGCTCGGTAAGGGGCTCCCAGAGAAGTCCCCACGTGGAGGCTTCTCCTGAGAGCTAGGGCTCTCTCTGATTAGTGCAACTATATGTGTGTAAGGGGGGAGTTTAGATGGTGTACCAGCCCCCAGAGCTCAGAATGCTGCCTCTGCCATACCCTGACCAGTGTCTTGCTGCAAGCGGCTAGTGTGTGCCCTGATGCTCGCAGGCCCTCTCTTGTGGTGAAGCTGGGCCGGGACTTTGCACCACCTTGTTAGTTTACCCTGTGGCCACAGGAGCTTAGCCGCTAAGACTCTCGCCCTGGATGCTGTATAAAGGCTTGTTTCTTGCACTCAGTGATGTCCTTGCAATGTCACACAGGTGATCTAGCACTGCCTGTGCTGCCCTAGTCAGCCCCAGCCTGCTGTCTTATTTATGAAAACATTGGCTATATTTCCATGATAATTTAAGAGACCGTAAAGGTGATGAGGCCACCTAATCCACCCTCCCTGCTGCAGGATTGTTTCCTCCTCTGTATTCTTCAGGTATCTGTCCTGTCCTAAGCAAGGGGCTTCCACCATCTTCCAGGGGAGGCTGCTCCCCAGGCTAAGAGAGCTCCGTGGTAGAACTCTTTCTTGCTCTTCAGTCTAGATCTTCCCTTCCCCACTCTCCTGTCTTTGCCCATGGGCAGATCCTCATGTATATTTCTGCATCTGCTCTAGTTTCTTAGTGTGGCTCCCATCACTGTAGTATCTGGGCTCCTTGTAGCCCCCAAACAGTGCCAGCCAGTTTCAGCCTTTTGCCCTGGGTAGGGGAACAGCGTCCTGCTGGATAAAGAGCCAGAGGACCTTAGTTTGTTTTGTTCTCTCTATAGGTGGCGCTCATGCAGAAGCGGACAGCTACTTCGATACAGTGCCCCTCCATAGGGCAGGGAATAAGACGGAGATTGCCCACAGTGTGCTGTACTTGGCGAGCCCCTTGGCATCCTATGTGACTGGCACAACCCTGGTGGTTGATGGGGGGAGCTGGCTGACCTCTCCTAACAACTTCCCCGCACTGTTGGGTATTGCATCACACTCTGCTAAGCTCTAGGTGACGTGTATTTTCCCCTCTGTGGGACTAGATATGCTGTCCGGGCTTAATGTCTGAACACCTCTTTATGCTGCAATCAAACCAGCGACATTGGCACAAGGGGGTTGTCCCAGGCATGATGCATTCACAGTGAGTGCGTTCTGGGTCACAGGCACTCAGGGTCACCATGCACTCGTCAGCAGCTGGCATGGTAGCCCTGGACTTTTCCTGCCAGGCAGGGTTTGGGGCTGTGTTGCACTGGTCAGTGGTTGGTGTGGACCCCATGCTGCTGTTGGTCACTGCTTTTCCTGTCAGTGCCTCCCCACTGCACATCTGGTTAATAGCGGTTACCATTTTCCTGGTGCTGTAGTTAAATGGGGTGAGGGTGGTGTCACATCCCAGAGGAGCCTCTACCCTTCTCGTGTAGACTTTCCAAGATCAGCAGTATGAAATACCTTGTGCTGTGGTGATTCATATGCAGATTATTCGTAGCCCAGGGCCACAGGCCGTGGGTGTGTTTGGCTCCCAGGTGTGTGGGACCTCTCCAGAGGTCCCGAAGGCTTGCAAAAACTCATCTGGGATACCTCCCCTGCCCAAAAAGTCCCAGATCGACAGCACCAAGTGTGGAGGTTCCAGGCGAGGCTTCTTGAGAGAAGACTGGGTAAATAGTTAGGAAGCGCAAATGTGTGGTTATTAAATCTGCAGTCTCCCAAACACCTCGCCCCATTTCCCCATCTCCCTCCCCAAAACCCACAGGGCAGGGCCACGTGGGAGGAATTCCAGGCCAGCTGGTTTAGTCTGGGCACAATTAGAAAGTTTGTGTGTGAGAGGGCGCACGATGGAGCTCTGGCCAGTTCCACCAGCGCAGGATCTGCCCCCAGGTGTTCAAAGAAGGCCAAGCCATGTAATACAAAGTGGTTTAAAGGACTGTGGCACCAATCTGCCAGGAGGGGCTGGTGCATGCTTGCCCATTGAATTGGGTGTGTCATTGGCAGTGGGAATTAATCCTTGGGCCTCTGGATCTTAAAGCAGGAGCGGCACTGACTGAGCTAAAAGGCCAAGCTCTGTCAGCCAAGGCTGAAGAAGGCTCATCATCCACTATATGTGGCCCAGCTGCACTAGGGGGGATGGAGCCCCACACCGAGTGAGCTGCCCACATTCACAGAATGCCCAAGGAACTATTAGTTACAGCTGGAGGTGGCAGACCCAGGCTCGCCTGACTCAGAGCTGGGATTTGGACCTGGGTCTCCCATGTCCCGGGCGATGAGCCCTGATCGCCAGGCTGCAGAGTCAGTCTCCCTTTGGCCCAATGAATATTTTGTTATTTGTACAAAGTGGAATAGCTCCAAGAGGAGAGATTAACTGACTCTTAGGGTATGTCTACACTACAGGATTAATCCGAATTTAGATAATTCGAATTTGGGAAACAGGTTGTATAAATTCGATTGTGCGCGGCCACACTAAGCACCTTAATTCGGTTTTTAACCACATTAATTCGGTGGTGTGCGGCCACACTACCCCATTAACTTAAACACAGTAATTTGGTGGTGTGCGGCCACACTAACCTTAATTCGAATTAACAAAATCGATTTAGGCTCTACTCCGTTCGTCGAGGTGGAGTACAGAAATCGATTTAAAGGGCCCTTTAATTCGAATTAACTGGCTCTGTAGTGTGGACGGGTGAAGGGTTAATTCGGATTAACGCTGCTAAATCCGAATTAATCCCGTAGTGTAGACCAGGCCAAAGTGGTTATGAGCTGTGCTGGTGGGTGGTATCTCTCCCTCTGTCCTCCACAGGCCGCCCTCCATTTCACAAATCATTTTGGGAGGTCTTGGTCGAAACAAAAATAAATTTGGAAAGCTCTAAATGTTTGGTGAAAAAGAGCTGTGGTTTTCCAGCCAGCCCAGGGCTGTTCGTCTGGCACCTGTAACTAGCACCATTGGCCCCTGGAGAAGGTCTGTCCTTGCTAAGTAACGAGGTGCCTTTTCCCTGTGCTCCGACTGCAGGCTCACTGTGCAGAGACATGCGCAGGTGTCAGCCTCCCCTGCCCCCTCTCTCCATCCTAGCCCTCTCACACCTTGCCAAACCCATGGACTGTATAGTTGCATCATAATTTTCAACAACCCAGATCAGCTCAGAGGCGCACAGGACTAATCAGAGACCCACACAGAAGTGTCCCCTGTTTAATTCATAATGTTATTTAACCAAACAACACACCAACAGGTGGAAGGGATGGGCTTGTCCTGTCTCCAAGGGCCCACGTTATGGTAATCAGAACCCAAGTTAATTAACAGGCTTGCCTGAACATTTACTCTGTATTCAGAGTATGGGGAAGGTGCACTCTGTTATTCATCCCAAAGAGGTTTAAGCCGTGTTTTAAGCACAAGTCTTAAAGCAGCCTTAACTGTGGAGCTGCCTTGGCACCTCCGCAATAAGCTACTGATGTTGTTTGAAAGAAGGGGCTCCCTTCCCCCCCGGCCCCCACCCCCCAGTGCTCTTTTTGAGCCCTGCCTCAGTCTAGGCCAGTCCACGATGGATTTCACGTCCATTTCATTCCCTGACTTCTATTCTGTCTTACAGATCATTGGGCCATGGAAGTGAAGAAAGACAAATGATGGACGACCAGGGATTGACAGACAGGACACTGAGCAAACACTACGGCTTTGGACATCCCTATGACACAGGGTCAGGGGCCAGCCATGACCTCTGGCCATCAGCCGTTGGGATCACCTCACTGGGGCAAAAGTGAAAATGGCAAAGTTGAAGATTCAGTGTATGTCTTGGTGGGGGGGGGTGTTAGCGGGCGGAGGAGAGGAGGGGGGCTACGGGAGTCCTGTCCAGAGGGGAGCTGGGCCCACGTTTGCTCCTGATTTTATATTTTGAAGCTGGTCTAGCAATAGGTGCAGTGCTGGTGATGGGTCTGTGAGGGGAAAGGCGGGTTGCTGGAACCTTGCTCCCCTTCACTGTGCTGTTTTCATTTCTGTTACATCAAACTCCTTGTTTCTCTGCTGAGTTACCTTGGTAATGCCAGAGAGCAGTCCTGCCACCCCTCTGTCTCGATTCCCAGCTGATTTTTCCCAGCTTTAACCTATAAACTGCTGATATCTTTCCACATCACTGTTTGATACCTTCATCTGGGCAGATATTCTCTTAAGACGGGCGTTCCAGGCAGTGTTGCCCTTTCCCGTTGCAGACTCAGTTCACTCCCATTTGAGAGCTGAAGGCAGCAGTGATCTGCTCCCAAAACTTGCACCCAGCTTGCAAACTGATCTCTCTGTGGCGCATGCCGCCTGAGGCCAGCCCTGAATCTCCATTCCCCTCCTGCACTTAGATGGACTGGTGACCATCCAGAGTGTGCACTGTGAACAGGCGAGAGTCCATATTCCCATCATTAAAAATCGCCCTCAGCAAGCTGCAAATGGCCACCTCCCACTGATAGCAGCATGTGCCCTGCTACCGTTCATCCTGCCGTGGATGTGAGCCAGATCACTAGCCCTGCTCTGCTGCCACGGCCTTCTGTATGCTCCAGCTCTCAGAAGTGGTATTCAGCAGCCCAGAGCCTTGCATTCTGTGGCACCACAGCACAGCAGGGGAGAGACTCTGCAGCAGCTTCACATACACTGTGTAGTGGTGTTACTGAGTTATGAAAACAACCAGTACAATGTCTACCACACTCCTTGTGCGGTTCACTAATGGGCCTTCAGTCTCTGGGTGCTAACGTGCCCAGAACGCCCATTCATCTCCACTAGAGTCATAGGTGCTCAGCACCTTGGAAAATCAGAGCCTGTGAATTTTTATTTTTATTGTACTGCAGGTCCATGTCTCACCAGTGCATCATTGTCCTACAGATGTTGGGGGCAGCCAGAGGTTCTGGCAGTTGGGGAATGTGCAGCAGGCAGTTTGGCCTATAGGATAAGCACCCAAGCCAAATGATAAAAAGAGTGGCAGTGAACTAGTTAACGTGGACACTGGAATCTTAATAGTGTAAATTTCAAACTCACCACTGAGACGGATGGGGCAGTTCACACCTCTCAGCCTGTGGTTTCAGGCTGCCTGCACACTCAGGCAGACAACACATCAGTTACACTCAATTCACATTTGAAAGGCTTTCTTTGCAACCAGAAGAACTAAAGAAGCTTTGCTGTTTATTTAAGCTTTGCTGCTAGAGCAGGATTCTGCATTGTGAATTGGGTCCTGACTGCGGCAATTAGGGTAATCTACACTTGTAACGCTACAGAGTTACAGCTGCAGCGGTTCCGTGTGGACAACAGCGACTATCTGCTGATGGAATCCAACTCCTGTGAGGCAGGAGCTAGGGCGACAAGAGAACTCTGCCGTTGACCTAGCGCCGTCCACTCCGGGCTTAGGTTGGCTTAACTGCGTTACTCAGGGGTGTGGCTATCCTGATGTAGGTTTTCAGTGTAGACTGGCCCTTACAGACAGTAACTGATCCTGTTGCCATCCTGTGGGTTAGGTCTGGATTATCAGCCCCATTTCACATGTGAGGATACGAGGCAGAGAGAGGGAAAGCAACTTGCCCAAGGTCACTCAAGGCGTGAGTGTCAGATCCAGCATTAGGACTCCCTGAGCAGTTCCTGATTCCTAGCCCCGTATTTAAACAGCTAGAACACATGGGACACATATGGCTCGGGATAAAGAGGTTACAACAATGGGAGGTAACTTGCCAGCCAGCCAGTGGCTTGTCCTTGCTCTGACTTACTTGAAAACAGCAGGTTTAGAATTCTAGCTGTGGTTCAGCAGCCAAAGAGAAGGGGGGAAGCACCTTGAAGGAGAGGCCCATGAGGGTGGTTTCTTTGCCTGCCTGTAGTGGGTCTTTGGCAGGATCCCGTATGCCTGTAATACATCAGCCCTTCAGGTGGCTGATCTATCAATGGGTTGTATCCCACACAATATTCTAGCTTTTCCAGATGTAAAACGGACCATTTCTTTTCTGGTTGCCCCAAATCTTCCCTAATGTCCAAAATCAGAGAGGGAGATTTGAAACAAGCGTATCCTGCATCTAATCCCATCTTCACTAGCTCCGAGACTTTCCCAAAAGTCTCCTAGGCCCAGATCCACAAAGCTAGTTAGGCTCCGAACTTCCACAGAAAGCAACAGAATTTAGGAGCCTAAATACCTTCATGGTCTCAGTTTCTCTATCTGTAAAATGCGGAATGATGGTAGTAGGCTACCTCCCGGGTGTGGTGCGAGGATTGACTCCTGCCTGTAAAGTGCTTTAAAAGAAGAAATCATTATCTAAGTTCTCCTACGTTTGTGTCCAGCACACGTTGCTTCTGAGTTCCAGTCTCTCAAGCTACAGCCCGGTACATGAGACCTTTGCATATCTGTGCAGTACTCGATGGTAGGAAATGAGGTGAAATTCACCATGGCCAGAATCAGTGCAGCAGTGTTAGCTAGCTGTTCTCTTTAGTTTGGCTGCAGTTAGCAGGGCTCTGAGGCAATGCAGTCAGACCAGCTTGTGGAGCAGCTCAGAACTGTATGAGAGCTGAAACGGAGCCTTTATTGCTGCTGACTGATGTATTTGAAAACCCACCCTTGCCTCCTGTGATTCTGCTGAATACAAACTATCTTCAGTTCTGCCACAGAGTAACCAGAATGCCAGAGGTATTGCTTCACCAGTGCTAAATTTCTCAAATATACCTCCTGTAATCCTTGAGTGTGGAGGATTCCTGCTGTGCACTGGCACTGTCTTTGTTAAGGAACTGAACAGAGCCAGGAAATTCTCTCCCTAACAGTGGTGCAGATTTGATCAGATACCACTCATCATTGCACCATAGGCAGCAGCCCCTGAATCAGTCTGTGAACCCAGAGAGAACAACAGGGTCTCTCTGTCCAGCAGCCTCTGTAAAGAATCCCATTTACATCCATTACAACAGAGTCTTATCTCTTCTGTGTTGCTACAGACAGTACCATCATCAGGTAAATCCAGGGGTGGATTTTGGTGCCCAGCAGGAATAGATCTTTTCTAAATCAACAAATCAGCTGATCCTCCGCTGCCTGTGCATGCTAGCACTGCACCATAGAAAATAAGCTATATGCCATGCAGAAGGGGTGTGAGTGACTCCTAGAAAGGATTTAGCACAGGTGGACAAACTTTTTGGCCCGAGGGCCACATCTGGGAATAGAAATTGTATGGTGGGCCATGAATGCTCACAAAATGGGGGTTGAGGGGGTGAGGGCTCTGGGGTGGGGCCATAAATGGGGAGCTCAGGGTGCGGGAGGGGGCTCCAGGCTGGGGCAGGAGAGTGGGGTGTGTGGGGGGGCTCTGGGGGTGCAGGCTCTGGGGTGGGGCTGGGGATGAGGAGTTTGGGGTGTAGGAGGGTGCTCCAGTCTGAGACCGAGGGGTTCAGAGTGCGGTAGGGGGATCAAAGCTGGGGCGGGGAGTTGGAGTGCGGGAAGGGGTGCAGGCTCCAGCTGGGGATGCGGGCTCTGGGGTGGGGCTGGGAATGAGGGGTTTGGGGTGCAGGAGGTGCTCTCCTGGGATCGAGGGGTTCAGAGGGCAGGAGGGGGATCAGGGTTGGGGCAGGGGTTTGGGGCATGGGAAAAGGCTCAGGGGTGCAGGCTCTAGGTGGCACTTACCTCAAGCAGCTCCCAGAAGCAGCTGCATGTCCCTTCTCCATCTCCTACACAGAGGCGCGGCCAGGTGGCTCTGCACGCTCCCCCGTTTGTAGGCACTGCCCCTGCAGCTCCCATTGGTTGCGGTTCTTGGCCAATGGGAGCTGCAGGGGTGGCACTTGGGGTGAGAGCAGCATGCAGAGCGGAGGCCCCCGGCTGCCCCTATGTGTAGGAGCTGGAGGGGGGGCCATGCTGTTGCTTCCAGGAGCTGCATGGCGCGGCCCCAACCCTGCTCCCCGGCTGGAGTGCCGGATTAGGGCCATGCTGCTACTTCCGGGAGCTGCGTGGAGTGGCCCCTGACCCTGCTCCCTGGATGAAGCGTCAGAGCGGGGAAAGCCCCAGACCCCACTCCCCAGCGGGAGCTTGAGGGCCGGATTAAAATGGCTGGCGAACCAGATCTGGCCCGCGGGCCATAGTTTGCCCACCCCTGATTTAGCAGGTCCATGCCACCCTCTCGGTGCTAGAAATAACTTTTAATCTGTTTCTAATTTTGTAAAAGCTTGTTTTAGAAGATTCTGTTTCTTACTTGATTGTGGTTTTGCTGACTGATCCTCCGAGTTAACACTAAAGAATGAACCCTAGCTGAGCTATCATATGTTTACCCGCCAGTGTGTTTTATTCTGCAAACTTACCTCTGCCTCGAATCAATATGGGTTTGAAAAGACAGGGTAAATGTTCATTTCCTCTCATGTTCTTAATAGAGTTTAGAACAGCAGCAATTGAAGATTTAAAAGATCCATGCAGCTCTTGGATTGGAGCAGGTGACAAGCTTTGTATGTGGGCCCAAGGCTGTTGAGCCAACCAGTTTGCTGCATGAAAGGCTAATGAAAATGAGACCAAACTGCTTAGCCTAGCTGTGTTCTTCCTGCATCGCAAAGGATGGAGATCTCCTGCCTTCTTCAGAATAACGGCCTGATCCAAAGTCCGGTGAAGCCAGTGGACTTTGGATCAAGCTGTTATAGAGGGTAATTGTAAAACTAGAAGTGTCGCTTAAGCACCTATGAAATGCCATGTAGGGTTTATAGTCACTAGGCTGGAGCTCTGCAGTGAGTACATACACCCATAAGAGTGACTCAGTAAAGCCAAAGGTGTCCTATCCGTTGATATTAGCTACAAGAGGTCAGGTTACAAATACTT